CTCTGTACTTCCCCATTTCTCTGGACTATTTCTTGCAGGAATTTCCGGAATCTAGCGACCGACCAGAATTCCTGGTCCTTTTTTTGTTGGTAGACTTTGCCCAATATCCAAACTGGTAATCTACTTTCGATAATAATTTCGATGCTTGAATGCTCCAAACACTCACCCATTGCTTCCAGTTGTCGAAATATTCTCTCCATAGTTTCGACTGTTGTTTTCCACTCTCGATCGTGTCCTTTGATGGAGTACAACTCGTTGTACAAAGACTTTTTTATAGTAGATAAATTTCTAAATTTCTCGACCAAAACTTTTCTTATAACGCTGTAGTTTTCTGGAGCAATATCATCGTCTTTAACAGCTTGTAGAGCGTTTCCTTTGAGACATGAGATCAGGTAATTTAATTTTTTAATACCGGGTATTTTTTGGAGATGCACTGCGGTATCAAAACTACCCCAGAATTCTCTCCATAATTTTGGGTCACCACTGAATGTTGGTAGTTGTAACTGTGGCAAATTTACTGCCTGCTGAAACATTTGGGAAGGCTCCTTTTGTTGGAATGGTTCGATATTTATTTTGCTTTGGTGTAGGCGTTGTTCTGCTAGCTCAAACTCATCCTTGTACATATCTAGAGTTATAATAGCTTCTTGACCATCATTTATTAAATTTAAAAGGTCTTTATCTTCGTCGACCATATCCGCGTATTTGTCTTCTTCCTTTCTTTCTTTTCTGCGCATTCTTTTGTTTCTCGATATGCTCCAACCATTTTTCGTTGATTGATCCGAGTGTACCAACATAGAGTTTTAGACGCCTTATTTTTTCTTCTATGGTCCTCCTCTTGAGTTCGAATTGCTGTTTCTTTTCCTCCACCGCTAAATGTTGATCAGGAGGCGTTAGATCCATTGCTTTTACTTCGTAGAGAAGATCCTCCAACTTTTGCTTTGCCGGTTAAGCACTTTTGATTATAGTCTCCGACATTCCTGGCTCGTGGCACCAAAAATTTGTTGGGAAATAGTTTTTCTCTTGAACTCCTTTCTCGGCGATACAGATTTGTTCGGGAGGTAATATTGTTCTTGCACAATATTACTAGTTAACAACAAGAAAAAGGGTATAAAATATGCATGTATATAACACGATGAATTGGTAAGCAATGATAAACGAGTTATACAAAAAGCTAGTAATATGGTCAACTAACAAACTCCTTGTCGTTAACTTGGACAATAATTTGACTGTCGGTAAGTTTATAGGTCGTTGAGTTGGGAATACGTTACGGGAAATGTATTTAGTGGATAGAAGAATATCGTAGTTTGTTGTCCAATGGTGGCGGATATGCGAAGATATCGTTGGTTGTGGGTTGGTGGCGGAGGATAAGCGATGAGATGTATTGTCTGCTCGATTGTAAAAACTGAACTCAACTAT